CAGCACATAAAGGCAAAGACTTGTAACCACGGCTGTGAAGGGGCTAACTGGGCTAAGTCTTCAAGGTGCCAAAGGGTAAATATGGATTCTTTGGATTGTAAATTCTCTGGATTTGACATGTTAGACCAAACAATTTGAAGATATTATGTTGGGCTCTGGTAAGTGATAGTTTTCTACTTTTTGTTATATTAGATTCTTTGAGAGCAGATGATTGGGCAAATAAGTTGCAGCCCTACATAAGAATGGCTTTTATCAACATGACACAACTGAGCGCACACAAAGACACAGCTTACCTTTACATGCCTTCTGGTAGAGCTGATGTGTCTGGTCAGACTTGGGGACAGACAATTGGTCCTAGAGGAGGACATGAAGATCAGTATAGCAGTATGGAGGCAGTTAAAGGGAAATCTGTTGGACTGCTCACTGGCACACAGCAGGGAGAGGCCAAACAGCTAAAGCCTTTAGGGATTTGGTCTGGGAAACGGAAAGTGAACGATGGCTCATCTCACCGCTCTGAGCTGCAGAATGGTTCTGTCTCTGTTGGCGAGGTCTGACTGAAGTTGCTTCTTAGCTTTCTCCGTGTCAGTCAGCTTCTGCCTCAACGCCTTTTCCTCTTCTCTCATGGTCGAAATCTTCAGGGGGAAAAAGAAGAAAATCATGATTCTGTTAGCAAAAGTTTACACATAATAAATAAAGGTAAAGTCAAGCTGCTGTCAAGTGTCCAGTTATTAACCAATGACAGCGCTTTTTTTTTTTAGTTTGAGACTTTTAAAAACAGAAATAGAAGAGGCAAATCAGATGACTGCAACACAATTAAAGCCATGAAAGTGCTATAAATGTCCACAATTGTCACTTCATGGTGGCAAAGTCCAGTGGGCATGAGACACAAAAGTTTAATTTATCTGGTAATCAATTGTATTGGCTATCAACCTTTCTGGCAAACTTATACACAGCAAAAGAAGAAATACATACACACACAAGGCAAGAGCATTTAAAAAAATCACACTAATCTTAACCATGGTACAGTTTTGTTTTAAGAGTTATGATCTAAGTTCACAGTAAGTGGGACAGTTCACAGTTGAAAATTCAAGTTGTGACTGCTCTTGGTGAACAAACGTATCCAACACATCCAGCAATAAACTAATGTCTGCTGATATCTGCTTTGCTCTAGTCAGCGTGCTATAAAGTACTAAAACTGTCTGCAGAACAACTCTGAAGTGTCTGAAGAAAAGAAACCCTGCTTCAAAAACCCATCGGCACTAGAAATACAACAGATCAAAGAAGTTTAGGAACCAGTACTGAAGTCAAGCTATCGGTACCAGCACCAGTATCTGGAACGATACCCAGCCCTAGTGCAGTTTGATATTTGGTATACAGTAGTACAGTATGTGTCACACATGTTGAAGTGGACACAACCTAAGAAACCATGCTGCGACGCTCAGCTGCTATTGAAGGTTGCTTCTACCAGTGCCTTTAAAGAAGGTTGTGTTCAGGTTTTCAGCAGAAAATGACATGTACCTCCTTCTGGACCTGCTGGATCTGCTTCTTGTAGTCAGCCAGTTTCTCCCTGAGGTCCGACAAGTCATCCTCTTTCCTCTGAAGGTCGAAGCTGAGGCTCTTGATTTTATCAGCATCCTGCCTGGCATTTTCCTGTAGTCTGGGAGAGAGACCAGATAAAATGCATTGTTACTAAGGATGTACCGATGCCAATACCAGTATCACATCTGATACCACCCTCTCCTGCTCTACGTGTAAAAGTTGTCCACCAGTATCAATTAACAGCAGCATTACATTAACCTTGCACTGGCTGGGCCGGTCGTTAAGATGGCAAAGAGGAAATGTCAGTGGTTTGGAAATATTTTGAGATAAGTGGTGAGAACAACTGTGATAATATGCGTTCCTAAACTGTGATGTTCTGTTCAGGGGGTTGTGAAACCATTAAATCCTAATACAAAGGTTAAAATCCACTGTATTACAGTATGTTGTGCAGCAGGCCACAGAAATTCAGTAGGACAGTGGCAGTACTGTGTTATCACAAGAGGTTTTCAGGTCATTTGCACTGCCTCCAGTTACAAAGGGTATTCTGTTTAATCACTATCAGAATGTAAATGTCATGAAATTCAGCTGCCTCTAAACTCATTATACTTTTGTCAAATCAAATCTACATTTATTTGTATAGCTCTTTACAACAATCAACACACTGACAAAATGGTTCACAATCAATAAAAATAAAAACTGAAAATACAAGAAAGCAGCACACAGACAGACAGACAACAGAAATCCACAACAATAGAAGAGAAATCTGAGTGTCAATAAACGTCTGGGAGCAAATTGAAAGACATTTCTAATTCAGATTTAAAGGAGACCACATTGGAGTTGAGCGCAGTACAAATTGTTCCATAACATGGGAGCAGCAACTGCAAAGGCTCATCCCCCCCAACTTTTTATCTGGCATTATGGTAATTGTAGTTTTTTTTAATTGTATAAAGGTTGTATCATTAAGTACTCGGTATCAGTGAGTACTCAAATGCAAGTACTCATTCTTGGTTTGAAAAAAAAAAGTGGTAACGTGCATCCCTAATCGTTACCAAGGTTTTTTTTTAAAAGACAGGACAGTACATCGCCTTACAGAGCAGCACTACTGCTCTCAGGATTCTGTAATACAATAGGTGGACGGATGGGAATGGATGGATTAATAAAACTCTCCCTAGGTGCCATGGTACTTGTGAGGAGATAACAGAGAATGTAAGACAGAAATTTATTTCACAGTGATAAAACAAAGTATAGTCTAGCACAGAAGAGATGAGACAAGGTCATACAGAGAGACTGAGTCCCACTGTCTATTAGGTTTTCTCTGCTACTCAGGGGAGGACAATAACTCCAGTAGAGGACAACGTACTCTAGAGAGACCTTTTTCTAACAGTTCAATTTAAGGTGTCCAAACATATTAGCATCCTAGAGAGTGATATAAGACTTGCTAGTGGAGATGCAATCTACTATAAATTACTATCAAAACAATTATTCCTAGTTCAACGTCAGGATGCCCAGAGCACGTGGATATAAAGATGTCCAGAAGTGATCTGGAACTGAAAATAATTCAAAAAGTCAGAGAGAAAACTGTTTCACAGGGCATTTTAGAGAGTGGGCTTCAAGGAGGGATATCAGACTGAGTAAAGTGTCAGTCAGCTACTAGGCTGGGACAAGTGACCACATACAAGATGGATGTGGTACTTTCCCTCCATTATGCAAAAGTGAAGCCAAAATATCATGAATGCATAGTGGCTGCCATTTTGATATTTTGCAACCAGATTCTGTGGAGTAACAGCATCAGTCCAGCAATCAAAGCTGTCAAATCATTTGAAATAAACCCCTTTTTATACCATCAAATACCACTTGTACACATATCAGCGTGATAATATCTACAAAAACCACAGAAGTGACCATGTATCTGCTTCGAACTTTGAGGTTTTAGTTTGCTCATGTTCCATCCACTAACACAGAGGGAGCAGGGTTTAGGACTTATACTGCAACCAACCACCAGGGGGCGATCAAGTCATGATGGCTTCACCTCTGGGAGCTGTCTGTCCATCATCTATACTATAAATGATGGACAGCCATGTTATACTGTCATTGGCTGGGGCGGACAGAGCTGTAACCCCGGTCTAGGTGTAACGTGCTCTATTTTACAGTATAGAGTAAGTAGAGCTGCTTTCTGTATTTGTATATAAATTGCATTTTCTGACATCTGGATGCAAACAGACACCTGGCAAGTGTGTGCAGAAGATATTATTGAACAAATAACCCTTAGATTAATTTGGCTTGGAATGATGTGATTTACTGCCCTGACATATAAAGGAACTGACCACTTACCTGCTGATCTCCTCAGCTTTCTTCTCCAGCTCTGCGTCCTTCTGAGCAATGGCCTCGTGTGCCACAGCCAGCAGCTCCCTGCGCCTTTCCACCTCCCTGCGCCGGGCCTCCTGGACCGCTCGGCACTCCTCCTCCTCCTGCCGCTCCTGCACTTTCTGCAGGCTCTTCTGCAAGGATGTTACCAGTGCTTCCTTTTCCAGGAACTTTTTCTGCAGCTCTGCCTCTCTCTGTGCCGACTCTCTTTCCAATTCCGCTAGCTTCTCCTGCACCTGTCCGTCCCTTTCTTTTAACATTCTCTCCATCTCTACAGAGGCTAGCTGAGCTTCAGTTTGACAAGAAGACTCTTTTGGTTCTTCCATGCTGGACACCTTTTCCCTCAGGGGTGCAACCTCAGTCTGGAGATCAGAGCTCAAACTCTTGAGATCCTCAGCAGCAGAGCTAGAGGATGTAGCCAAACCTTTAATCCTAGCTTCTTCTAGCTCAGCTTTGAGCAGCTCCAAAATTTGTTCCTGCTCTGTGGACTTTTGCTTCAGATCATCCAAGAGTCTGTCAGAGGTTTCTTTCTGTTCATTCAGTTTGTGCTGTAACTGCTCCAGCTGCTGATGTGATATCACTTCTTGCTCTTTCAGCTTCACGTTGAGCTTCTCCAACTTCTTTTCTGAGGTCTGTGTTTGTTCCTCAAGACTTGCTCTCAGCTGTTCTACTTCTTCTCTGGAAACCTGCTCTTGGTATTCAAGCTTGGACCTGAGTTCTTTCGGTAGTTGCTGCAACATCTCTTCTTGCTCCTGAAGCTTCTTTCTCAGTTTGTCAATTTGCTGATTTGAAGTAATTTCTTGATGTTTAAGCTTCTCAGTAAGCTGTTCCAGCTGCTGGTGAGATCTCAGCGGTTTGTGTGCCAGCTGCTTTTTTGTCTGTGTCAGCTCATGCTCCAGCTCCAACATTTGTTTGTGCTTGTTCTCAGTTTTCTCTGTTTCGTCAGCCAGTTTCTTCCTAAGCTCCGACAGTTCCTCTCTCAGCTGATCACAGATACCTGCAGAGCGCTGAAGCTCCTCCTTCAGGCTTTCAGCTTCCTGCATCAGGGTGTGGATCTGGGAAGTTTTCTCCTGGATCTCTGCTGAGTGTTCATCCAGTTGTGCCTGACCAGACTGTAGTTGGACTAAAGCTTGTTCAGCTCTCTCCATCTTGCTGGTACTGTAGTTGGACTAAAGCTTGTTCAGCCCTCTCCATCTTGCTGGTCACCTATTGTAATTGCCACAAATAACACTTTTTTAAGTTTTGTATGAAAAGCCAAGAACTACAGTATCAGACCTGTCTCACTGCACTTTCTGGAAAAATCATCATGCAACACAAATAGTATATTTTGACATATGGAAGTACCGATATTTCATGAAACCGGGATGATAAGATTTGCAGCTATGTCCCCAGCACTAGAACAGGATCCCTCACTAGAATAACTGCACACTCTCTTGTGAAAAAACATATTTAAAGGAGCATTAACTCAGATTTCCCAGTGACAGTGGGACAGGAGTAGCTGCAAAGAGCAGAGGAGCTTCTCAGCAGCGGGTAGAAGTTTAACACTTTAACATAAGTAAAAACTTAACGTAACACTGTGACCCACCTGGTGTTCTGCAGCTTCCAGTTTGATAGTCAACTCTCTGACTTCCTGTTGAAGTGCATCAACCTCCTGTTGCATCTTTTCCTTCTCCTCAACCAGCCTACTGATCTCCTTCCTCTCCAGCTCCAGAACAGACTGAATCTCCTCACCACTCCTGTCATCACCAAAAACAGCAAGTGCCTCCTCTGTGCTTCGCTTCACTTCTGCAAGAGATGTCAGGGCATCCTCCTTGGCTCTCCTCTCAGCTTCAAGGGCTGCCATGGCCTCTCCTCTGCCTTTCCTCTCTTCTTCAAGGGATGCTAGCACCTTGTCTTTGTTTCGCTTCAGCTCCTCAAGTGTGGCAAGGGCCTCCTCCTTTGCTTTCCTCTCCTCCTCCTTTCCCATAGTCTGGTACTCCAAAGCGACAAGGCCATCTTCTCTGGCTTTCTTCTCCTGCTCAAGGGCAGCCAGCGCCTCCTGAGTGACAGGACTACTGATTAATTCCTTTTTTAATGTTTAAACTGTTGTGAGTAAACTTAACTATGGTGGGGAAAGAATTAAGTAACTGTAAAGTACATAGGAAATCAACAGACACTTTAGTGGTGTTGATCTTTTATAAACTACATCAATGATGGGATTATACACATTCTCATTTGGTAAATTCCTGTTTTACTTTTAAAACCATTAATTAAATGATTCCTGATGACTAGTTAAAACAGTGTAAAATACAGAATGCTATTTTAGTAAGCTCAAATATGAATGGCCCTATAACAAACACCAGGCTCATATTAAGTAGGCCAGTTACAGCCTTGGGTTAGAAAATGGGGTTTATGAACCGTGGTTCTTGCACCAATGAAAATGTGAGTGCACATAGTGAAACGGACACATTCTACCCTCTTATTGCTGAGACACTGCTGAAAAATGAATTAAACACAAAATGATTTAGTGAAGATGCTGACTGGTCAACATCAGCAGCCTGTGGCCCCTCCATGAAGCATGAATTATCACTGCTGCATAATCATGAGGAGGATGAATTTGGGGAAAGAATCCTTCTCCAGATAAAATAAACAAAATATTGTGATAAAGGAGATGATGCTAATAATTAGGTTCAGCAAATCCTACACTGACAACTGATTCTGTTGGGAGTTGGCAGGATATTGATGGCATGGCTTCAGCATTTCCTCCAGACTTCCTTTTACCTGCAGCCGTTCTCTCTCCTGGCCCAGAGAGCCCAGCTCTGCACCCTTCTGCAGCTGTGCCAGTTGTTTCTCCAGCTGGGACACCTTTAACAACTGCTCCTGAAGCTGGGAGAGGAGACTCCTTTTCTCCTCATCCTCTGCTCCACTGGCATCACCTTGCAAGTAAAACAAATGGGAGAAATACATTTAACATACTGTAACAAGTAGGTCAGAAGTGACACACTGGTTTTCAACTGTCAATTTTGAACCTAATTAGAGAAAGATGTCACTATTTATGACTTTAAAGAACATTTTACACTGTCTCTGAATATTCAGTTATATAATGATATTTCTATATGTGTTTTTATAATCAAGGACAGGCAAAGAATGTTTGTGGTCTTTCATCCCACTGTCTCACTGAATTATTATGCCCAGCCTCTGGGGTTTGGAGAAAACCCGTTCTCATGTGAATAATGTAAAGGAAAACAAACTTCACTACTCCAGGGGCTCAGGATCCAACACTAACCAAACTGCAAATGCCATTATTCATAGCAAGTCATACAAATAGTTCTGTTTTTATTTGAGGACATTTTAAGATCTATGTGGTGAACAGAAGGGGAAAAAAACACTGTAAATCTACATTTGAATAATTCTGCCACAGACTTCCCAGAAACAGTTTCTGTAACTCTGGATAACCCCAAGACGTCACTGTGAACAACTGTCTTTGGACCTACTTTATAATGATGAAATGCACATTTTTCAGAGGAGCATTGCTGAGACTTGGGTGAACTGATCCTTAGATGTGTGCTGGTTCTAACAAAAAAACAACCACCGAGGCCATCACAAACAGGTAAAAGGTCCCCCAGTCCTCCTATATATTACAGCATGTCTTTATAGTTGGTCTGTGTCTCTTAATGGAAGCCTTGGATCTCTCTGCGATTGTTTTGTCTCTCTTTGTGGTGGTTTTGCATCTCATGTCGGTAGTTCTGTGTCTCCTGGTAGTCTCTCTGTGTCTGCTTAGCTTCATTCTGTGTCATTTAGTAGTTGTTTTGGGTCTCTTTGTGCTCATTTTGAGTGTTTATGGTTGTTTGCCATCTATTTGCAGTCTTTTAACTTTCAAACGAGAAAGATTAACAATGACTTCATACAGAGCCTCTGGCCCAAGGGCCCTGACCTCTCGATCCCAGTAGGAACATTCAGTAATCCATCACGGAGGCCATAAACTCATATCATTTTTTCTCCTGCAACATGTGCCTTTCTGACAGATAGAGACGCTTGCGGATCCATATGTGCTTTTACCATTTTGTGTGTGAGCCACGTGCTCATTGACTTTCCTCTGGGGCTCATTCAGCTCCAACATGTCTCTCTCTGGCTCCTCTACAGCATCTCTTCTGTCTCCCAGAGACCCTGCTTGGCCTGAACCCGAACAATTATGAGCAGAAGAATGGGAGAACAGAGAGATGTCCTGCAGAAGGAAGGAAACAACCGAGAAATTAGTCAGGGATATTAGTTCACATATCCCCACAGTCAGAACATCCAGGCTCGGTGCCGTATGGCAGTTCAACCATATCTGTCAGTATCCAAGAGCAAATAACTTGCTTGCCCTGGTATCAAATGTTAGAAAACTTCAAATCCCCTTTGCTCTCAAAAAAGTTGTTACAACATGTGTAATTGTTTCAATGGTACGCTGTTGGCAGAAGCAGGTCAGAGGTGGGTCTAACTCAGTAAATAAGACCGTTCTCTTACTGGGAACTAGGTGTGTGAAGCGTGAGCGTAGCACAACAATCCTGTCACTGATACATATCAAGCACAGTCTATGCATCAATTCTACTTCATTTGTGATTTATTCATTACATCTTTGCCATCAAACGCCTGTTTCAGCATGCACAACATAAAACTTGCCATTAACAAACCAGTTAACACAATGAGTGTGATTAAAGAAAGACTGTGTTACCATGGCTTGTGTATCTTGACTGGGTTCAGCTTTGGCCATTTTGTCAGTTAGGTTCTTGAAGATCTCGAGTCTCCTATCTGCTCGCTCCTCCAAGATTTCTCTCTCCCTTGCCAGACGCTCACTGGACCAAATACACACATTTGTACGGTTTAAAAACCTGACCTAAAACTTTGTCTTTACCCAGAAACTGAATTCAGTTTAACACCAACAAAATGATTTTCCATGCATGGAGAGAAAAAAAAAAGCAGCAAACTGAACATTACATAATAAATACAAGGGATCAAGCATCCTAAAGTCCAGTTTCTTCTCAGCTTTCATAAAGCTACTTAATACATATGGGAACATAAGAGCTTGTTAATCTCATTCTATTTGGTGAACAATGAGCTGGTGACAAATTTTCTTTGGTGAAATTAAATGTAAATGATATGATTAATGCTATTGTTATGACAACGTTATTATGTTACCAGTCCCTCAGAGGAAGGGCACTGAAACTGTCCATGTAAAAAGAGGAAAACCCTGGTAACTGTACGAATATGAGGCGATGCACTGCAGTGCAGCATGGACCACATGTACGATCAAAAAATTCTCTCACTTGTAATCACTCTGCATCTGAGAGAAAAGCTCTGAGAACTCTCTGCTGACTTCCTCTCTGACTCGTGCCTCCATGAGCAGACTCTCTGCTCTCTCCTCCTTCAGCTGAAGCTGCAGCTGTTTCAGCAGTGTCACCTGGCTCTGATAAACAGGACACACAACAGCAACACAAAATCATAGAGCGTTTTAAAATTGAGGAAGTCCTGTTACTGCAGTGATACTACTGAATACATTCAGGACATGTCTGGGTAATTAAACTGATCTATATTTGAACAGTCTGAACCTTAGGAGAACATTTTACACTGAATCACAGAAAATGACTAGGATTTAACTTCCATACCTCTAGAACTCCTTTCTAATCAAAGTGTCGGGGCATATAAAATATACAGTGGAACCTCGGTTTTCATATGCCCTACTTTTTGTACGATTCGGTTTTCAACGACTTTTTTCGTCTAAATTTTGTCCCAGTTTCCGTAAATCTGCTGGGTTTTCGTACAGTTGATCGGTCGGCTCAGCGTCATTAGTCCGTACCAAACTCGTCCGCCTGCCCGCGTGACTCGGCCACTCATTTCCGGTAAGAAATGAGTGAAGGGAAGTAACCCCAGATAGGGCCTTGATACTTGAAGTCCTTATGGAGGGGGATTCCCCTTCCAAATAATAACCTCTCCTCCTCCTTCTCCCCTCCTCGCCATCTTCCATACACCAACAAGAGTCTTCAATAAAGGTGAAAGTGATGTTAAATGTTCATTTATCCATTTCATTAGTCACTTATATTTATTTCTCATTGTTTTCTGTATGTAAAAATATAGTTATTCTCTATAAAATGTATATTTTGTTAATATTTTTGGGTGTCTGGAATGGATTAATTGGATTTACATTATTTCTTATGGGAAATATTGCTTCAGTTTTCGTATGATTCAGTTTTCATCTGAATTTTTTGAACGAATTAAATCACAAAAACTGAGGTTCCACTGTATATAATAAAGCACAGTATATAATAAAAATGAGCAAAAACAGTAGAGCTGCTCCAGTTCCCCTGAATTAAGACTACAATCTACCTTATCACTGCTAAGGTCAAAGATTTCAATCTATTTATTTTCCCTAAACCTATACTTGTTTCCCAATATTCTATCAATGACCTCCAAAATATTTTGAGTAATTATTGGCAATTTCTTTGTTAAATGGCCTTGACAAAAGAAAAACAGTACAATACTGACCTGGTTCATCTTTTTACTAATGAGTATCTTATCATTTCCACTGCTGTCTCCTTCAGTCTGATCCATGGATTCCTCCATTAGACTTTCTTCTTCCTCATACTCACCATTCTCATCCTCCTGGACAAAAGATGTATTAACAACACAATGACAATTTACCAAGTGATAATTCAAGCCAGGTACCTTAGAATTCAAACTTCTCCACCCCACCTGTACATCCTCCAGACTAGTCTCCCAGACAACCTGAGAGCTCCTCTTGCTGCCCTGAAGACTCTTCCTCTCAGCATTGCTGATGGAGGATTCCTCTGTGGCAGGCCTCTGAACCATGGTGGGAAGAGGCCTGGTGGACAGAACCACAACCTGCAGACATGAGCAACAAACAGCAAAGTTAATAAAACATCCTTTAATGTCGCAGTCTCTAAATTTATTTTTCTACATCTGATATGGTTCTTTTCTTATTCTCAAAATATAATTGATAACAAGGTTATATGGACACACATACTGAATCTGAAAAGACTTTAAATGTTCAAACTATGGGTGCAGTTTTCCAGATGTGTCAAAGTGTCTCCAGGTGAATTAAAAACAGAAGCACAATACCAAAGAGATGACACGCGTCTGTACCTTTTGTGCCACAGCAGAGAATCTGAGGACGTTTAGAGTCTCGTCATACACAGAGGCGCACTGGTTGATGTTGACGATCATACAGGCTCTACCTCGACCACAGAAAAAGCCCTGCAGGTAGTGGGTCAGCTTGCTTTCCCTGAAGGGAACATGCTGAAGCAGCCTGAGGGAGGTAACAGACAAATGGCTTAGCTGGTTGTGAACTGTGTATGTTCTGAACCGTTTGTATTGCTCCACTCTGAGCTGAACTTATACGTAAATATGTAAAATCTTCACTGAACAATTTAAAACGTTATAGCAAATGCTCATTGTGATGCTAACAGGGAACCCAAAAGCAAAGAACTGCCCATTTCAACATCCAGTGGGGGCAAATTTATCATCGTGCTGAATTTATGTTAACTAAAAATGTAAATCCAGTATTCACTCTCCTTTTAGGACTGGTTTGTTTTCAATAAACCAATATTTTATGGACAATGATACACCGGTCAACGAAATGGAGGATACAGTAGATAGGTTTAACAGGTTTTTTTGTGAATGTTGGTCCTGGTTTAGGAAGAAGCATTTGTACTGATGATACATCTGTCACTATAAATAATAATACAATTGAAAGGAACATGAGTTCTATGTTTCTGAAGCCCATAGATGAAAAGGAAATTATAGAGATAGTGAATAAATGTGTTAACAAAACATCTAGTGATAGTGATGGTATCACTATGACAACTGTTAAATGGGTAATTGAGGGGATATGTAAACCATTAACCCATATTTTTAACATGTCGTTTTGACTTGGGCAGTTCCCCAATAATATGAAAATAGCAAAGGTTATTCCATTGTATAAATCTGGTGATAAGCACAACTTCACAAATTATAGACCGGTTTCTCTGTTGTCACAATTTTCAAAAATTCTGGAAAAACTCTTTAATAACAGATTAGATACATTTATTGA